TTACACGTCATTTTTGCTGTTAACTTGGTTCATTCAGTACATACTATATGCTGGTTTTGAGTTCTTTGAGATATAATTAAACTTTCATCATCAGTCAAAAAATACAAAGTTAGTGGTGTCCAGAAGAGAAAATTTAAAATTCAGAGGAAACAAAATCTTAGAGATATTTTAAAGAAAATTAGAGACATTTTTAATTTCCGAGAAACCTAACGTAAAAAAAAACGTTTTGAGAGAAAGTTTAAATTAATAATAGGAAGCTAAAACTTAATTTTATTTGGATTTCAAAAAGAACCCAGAAATGTGCTAATTTCTTAATTAATTATTATTAATGGGAAAACAGATAAAGATTCGTTATATTCAATACGACGCAAAATTGTCTTCATATGTAGGTCTTACAGCCTTTGGATGGTGTCCACCTCCATCTCTCTAACTGTCTGGTAAATTGTTCTTCTTAATTGTTCTTCTAAATTGGCTTCCCAGCCGTTGTTGTAAACCTTTCTACTTAGTATTCCCCAAATCTTGTTTTCGATTGTTTGCACTGGGGGCACTATGGGGGGATTACCTTTTCATAGGTACAAAACTTATATTATTGCTTTCTAACCAATCCCTGGACATTCTAGTATAATGGCAACTTGCTAAATTTCGCAAAATATTACATCTTCGTTATTATGGTGTTCCCATATATTGTTATGTATTGACCGCGTCACCTCTAGCACGGCCAATGAATTGTGCTGAAACGCCGGCCGGAGATATAGCCCATCAAACCAAAATTTTATCTTCAAACTTTGCCTTCGACTTAAATTTTACTTGTAATTTCTTCTATATTGTTTGTATAAAATCCATCGTTACCTTCCATCTCTGAATGGGCAAACGTAAAATATTTTTCATCGCCTAGCACAACCACACGATTGTCCAGAAAATGATGAATTCTCAATAGCCGGCAACATCTAAGAATTCTCTCTAACTGCGATGCTGTATGTTTTGAACATTTAGCTCTTTTGCTGTATTTTAAGTTGTTTTTGCCTATTTCTATAGAAAGTGTTATATAGGAACTCTAAACAATCGAGCCAATCTTCTTGTTGATGTTCCAGGCTCTTGTTTTTCTTCTTAATCTTTCTAAACTTATTGTGGTATTGCTACCTCGCAGTCTTTAATTGTTCTGTATATAGTTGCGCGTGTAATATATTTGGTCCAAAATATATTCACTATATTAACTGGTATATGGCTCTTTGCAACTCTATTCTGTATGACATTGTTTAAGCGGTAATTGACATAAATCTATGACATAAATTGTATAAAATGGGAAATAAGAAACGTGTTTGGTTACGCTGTTGCAAATGTAACTTGATTCGATTGCATTTTAAGTTAAAAAAAAGATAGGAGTATACAGCCTGTTATTGAAAGGTACGTACAAAATAAAATCGGCAATTGGTCTCAAAGTATGGGTACTAAAAGTTAAAAAAAGTTCAGGTAAAAGTGTTCTCCTTTTAGAGATAAAAATTATTAAAATTTATGTCCAAATTCGTTGAACGCCTCTGATAAAAAGATCATCTTTCGTTTCTATAGCAACAGTTAGTCTTGACAAAAGTTTTATTGTTACAGCTGCTAGGATTTACTAAAATAAATTAATTTTACCTATTTATCCTTCAGTAGCGTCTAAAAAGATTGGATAAGGGTTAATTTTCCCCTTAAAATTTTGTTAAGACAAAATAAGTTTTTCCGACTTCTTAGACTTCGCGAAGAACTGTCCATTTTGTTGTACGTACCTTTCAATAACACCCTGTATGTAAATTTTTCTCAAAACTCTTTTACGTACTAGTGGTGAAAGTGACATAGAATTGGAACATCTTAGTAAAAGTAAAGACAGTTAAGACTAATCTAGTTGAGTGCATGTATTTAGAGAAATTTTAGTTGTATTGATAAATTAAATTCTTAGATGGAAATATAATAACGATATAGATATGAAAATGCAAGAAAAAAAATATAGAATTTGAAAATATACATGATTTTAATCTTTGCAATGGCACTACATACCTTATTTATAAACTGTTGACACATGATGTACAAATTAACAAAAAAAAGAAGACAAATAAACGCAAAATTTAAATTAATTTAACAAAATAACAGAAACAGACCAATTAGGATATTTTCTTAATTAAAATAATAAAGGAGGCTGTTGTTGTAAACGGTGTTTTTCATCATTTGATTATAAGTTTGGCAGTTAATAAACGTTTTCACGCGAAAATAATGTCGTTAACTCTTACAGACGTCTCCCAAATTGTCGCTCTGTTTCTGTTATTTTGTTAAATTAAATTTAATTCTGCCTGTATTTGTCTTCTATTTTGTTGCTAATTTATACATCATGTGTCAACAGTGAATGGTTCTTTAATAAAATAACGATAACTAGGTAGTTAAATTAACAATTTTTAAAGTTTTGTTTTGCGAAATTTTACAGCGTGGTAGGTTTTTTGCCGGCCAGTGTATACGCATTAAAATACAGTTATAAAAGGTAACAAAACAATATTTTTCATAATTAACAATGCATATTAAGATCATTAGGTGATTAATTATTGTAGGAATTAGCTCGGTTTGCGCAAAGGTGGAGATAACACAACGACCGTAGCAACGAATCTTAACCAATTAAAAAGTCAAGTAAATTTGCTGCTGCTACTTTTATATGCTTTCTTATGAAATTATTTTTGTTTTATGCCTAGTATCCCGCAAACGCTTTCGAGCACGCCACTGGAACAACCAGTTTCTCGGAGGACCTGGAAGAACCATTTATGACCCTAGTAGAAAACGCGGTAGAGTGCTTTTCTCTAAAAGGTACATGGGCGGAGTCAGAGATCTGCGCGTGGAAGTTGGCGGGAATAGATGATACTATAGACAGTGGCGTATCTTTTGGATATTGAATCTGGGGGCAATGTTATGTGGTACTAGAAATCACAGCAAAAAAAAATGGAAACATAAATTTATTTTGTGAAAATGTCTTTCCGATGTTATAAAATCATAGGCGTAACAATTTTTTTCCAAAAAATCAAACTATAGATGAATCACCACGTGCTGGATTCTTTCACCCCGCAATGCCGAACCAAATTTCGTTTCTGCGCACGTTTATTGGTGTGTACCTTTTACAGAAAAACACTCTACCAGGCATTTTTTCAAACAATCTTCCCTCCTCTCATTCTAGACATAATGTACTGTCTCTTTATATGTGTCTGAAATTTTTCTGCTACTTGTACTTTAAATGAATTTCAACTATCAATCATTTTTTTAAGTTGCTTCAAGGTGACTAAAATTTGACATGATAATTTTTTGTGGAAAGAACTCAGCAAGTGGTAACTTTCGACTCAATTGGAGTATTTTTAAGCTCCCGTATGAAAGATTGCTTTGGGGTACTTGTTAAGAGCAGCTTAAAAAAGGCTGTTTTTTTGCATTATCACTTCTCGTATAGATAAAAACTAAACACCAAGTTTCGATTTGGTAATAATATTTTTAAGGCCCAGTCTTCAACGTTGTTTTGGGGGTAGATTTTAACGGTTTCTCCAAACGGGTTGAAATTTTGGATCAACAATCTTCGTATTGAGAAATAAGCAAATCTCGAGTTTTGACTTGATTGAAGTATTTTTTACCCCCAGTCTGTAAGTCTGTCTGGGGGTAGTTTTTAAGGGTCTTTGCCAACGGGTTAAATTTTTGTGCCAACAATCTTCGTATTGAGAAATAAGCAAATGTCGAGTTTTGACTTGATTGGAGTATTTTTAATCCCCAGCCTGCAAGGTTGTTTTGGGGGTGACTTTTGAGGGTTTCTTCAAATAGGCTGATATTTCGTATCGATAATCCCCATATTGATAAACTAGCAAATATAAAATTTTGACTTGATTGGAGTATTTTTAAGCCCCAGTCTGCAAGGTTGTTTTGGGGGTAGTTTTCAACGATTTCTCCGAACGGGTTGAAATTTTGTATCAACAATCTTTGTATTGAGAAATTAAGAAATATCGAGTTCTGACTTGATGGGAGCATTTTTAACCCCCAGTCTGCAAGGTTGTTTTGGGGGTGATTTTTAAGGGTTTCTCCGAACGGCTTGAAATTTTGTATCAACAATCTTTGTATTGAGAAATTAAGAAATATCGAGTTCTGACTTGATGGGAGCATTTTTAACCCCCAGTCTGCAAGGTTGTTTTGGGGGTGATTTTTAAGGGTTTCTCCGAACGGCTTGAAATTTTGTATCAACAATCTTTGTATTGAGAAATAAGCGACTGTCGAGTTTTGCTTTGATTGAAGCATTTTTAATCCCCAGTCTGCAAGGTTGTTTTGGGGGTGATTTTTGAGGGTTTTTTTCGAATAGGCTGAAATTTTGTATCTATAATCCTCATATTGAGAAACAAGCGAATATCAAATTTTGACTTGATTGGAGCATTTTTAATGCCCAGTCTGCAAGGTTGTTTTGGGGGTGATTTTTGCGGGTTTCTTCGAATAGGCTGAAATTTTTGTACCGATAATCCTCGTATTGAAAAACTAGCGAATGTCAAATTTTGAATTGATTAGAGTATTTTTAAGCCCTAGTCTGCAAGGTTGTTTTAGGGGTAGTTTTTAACGGTTTCTCTGAATGGGTTGAAATTTTCTATTAACAATTTTCGTATTGAGAAATAAGCAAATATCGAGTTTTAACTTGATTGGAGCATTTTTAACCCCTAGTCTGCAAGGTTGTTTTGGGGGTGATTTTTGAGGGTTTCTCCGAATGGGCTGAAATTTTGCATCAATAATTCTCGTATTGAAAAACTAGCGAATGTCAAAATTTAACTTGATTGGAGTATTTTTAACCCCTAGTCTGCAAGGTTGTTTGGGGGGTGGTTTTTAAGGGTTTCTCCGAACGGGTTGAAATTTTGTACCAACAATCTTCGTATTGAGAAATAAGCAAATGTTGAGTTTCAACTTGATTGGAGCATTTTTAACCCCCAGTCTGCAAGATAAACTGTGGTCTGCAAATTAGACAGGCCCACCTGTAGATGTCCGTTCGAGTTAACATGAACAAAATGCTTCCGAAGTGGAGTCTGGAGCAGTTGGTTATGGAGCAAAGAACCGGGAGACCTTGCCCAGCCGCGATTCCGCTAATCGGTAACCACACGCTCACAGTAACGTAGCCTTCGGCTCTGTACGTTTGGAAACTCCGTGTCACGTCGATTCGTCCCTCAAAAAGTAGGTGCTTTTCTGTACTAAGGTGGCGCCGGGGAATTACAGCGACAAACTGAGAGTAGTTGAAAATGTCCGCGTTTTTGGCTAGGTGTAGGGTCACTTTTGCTAGGTACCTGAAAAACTGAATTACACCGGGAAATTCGTGACGGTTTCGTACTCGATGCTGCCGTGGTCCCCGTACCAAGTACCAGGAAGACGCGAAGGCCAGTAAGCCACGAACGGGTACGACTCGGTACCTTTGTGGCGGTGGGCGATGTCTCCGCCGCACAACGAATGCCGCGTATAATAAAACTGTTGGAAACCCTTGACCGGGGTGTTCTCTGGGTAGATTCTAGGGAACTTGAAACACATTGAGTCGAGCTTCCAACTGCAGTTAGCTATGCCAGTTATCTACAATTTTAGCAACAAATAAACGGTATTAAAGTAACACACAACGTACTTCTATGTAGGCGCGGTCGATATTGAGCGGTGTCGGGGAACCAATGGTGACTTTTCCTTTCAGTTGATTATTCACAATCCGGCGTTTTATCTTGATTTTGCACTGGATATCGTCGTGCGTTTTCGAAATGTTCTTCTCGTCCATTTTCAAATGGTGCCTTTTTGAGGGTGACAGGTGGCAGGCGCGACAACCTAAATAAACAAAGACACCAGTTTAAACTTGACTAATTCCGCGTACGAATTATTGTTAACGCGCATAAATCAACTTTTACACTTACTTATAACGTTCTTTGTTTATTCGGATCGACAGACGCAAGGAAATAATTTATTTACGTGTTAGTAGATTCCATCGTGGTTGGCAACACTTGCCAATTTGCGTTTGCTTGTCCAAATTGACAGTTAAGAGTACTTGATGTGACCCGAAATTCACTTTGTGGGTGATGTTGTGCGAATTTCGGGACAGGCGTTCCAAAATGGTCAGCTTGTCGCACTCGAAGTCACACTCTTCTACTTGCTGGCTGTTGAAAGTAGCCCCGGATGGAGGTGTGGCCTGAAAAAAATTATTACGTTCCTGTCCAACTAATTAGTGACATCAGCGGAATTAAGTGGGGTTTATAAACTTGCTGGTGACGTTGAAATTACTTTTAGAGCTGAAAATTTTGAAATTGTGCAATTTTTTCCAATTTTCGGATTTTTAGAATTATATTTCTCGAGTTTTTTCAGTTTTTTGGCCTTCTTAAATTTTTTGTATTTTTGATTTTTTGTTTTTTGTTATTTTCGGATTTTTGAAATTATTTGGTTTTTGGGTTTCTTGGATTTTTTAGTTTCTTTAAATTTTTTAATTTTTGTATTGTTTGGATTTTGTTTCTTAATTCTTTTGGATTTTAGGAGTTGATTCGATTTTTTTAGAATTATGGAAATATTGAATCTCTTAGATTTTTGGTTTATTTATTCGATTTTTCAATTTTTTGGATAATTTTTATTATCTAGTTATTTTTTATTTTGATTTCTTGGATTTTTTGAATTTTTGACATATTTTCACCTTTTGATTTTTAGAATTATTGGATTTCTTGAGTTTTTTCAGTTTCCTGGGCTTCTTAAATTCTTTATATATATATTTTTTAATTCTTTGCTTTTTTAGATTGTTTTGAATTTTTTAGATTTTTAAAATTTTTGGGATATTTTTTATTTTTGGATTTTTGAAATTCTTGAATTTGAGTTACGTGGGTTTTTGAATTTCTTTGGCTTTTCGGATTTTTTGGATTTATTTGGTTTTTGGGTTTCTTGGATTTTTTAGTTTCTTTAAATTTTTAATTTTTGTTTTCTTCGTCCTGGGCCAAGGGGGCGGGGCTTAACTGCAAAATCCTTATTTCTTTCAAAGAATACTACGTATATTGAGAAAAAATTAAAGCCAAAGATTAAGCCCCACCCACAGCTGCCTTGATTTAATAGTAATGAAATTTTCATTCGTTGGCAGACCTAGGGGCGCAGCCTAATTGCAAAATCCATATTTCCCTACAAAAATTTGCCGTTTTAAACATATTTTAAGTTTCTAAGAATAAAAAAAAGAGAAAGGGTGGGCGGGCGGGGTTTATATTTTGCCTTTTTTTTTTTTCTTAATATACATTGTATTGTTTGAACAATACGATACTCAAGAACACGTTTTCAATTTCTTGTAAAGAAATAAGTATTTTGCAGTTAAGCTCCGCCCCATAATTGCGAAATCCATATTTTCTTGCAAAAATGTAACATTTTAAATATATTTTAAGTTTCTTGTTGTGAAAAGGTGGCTATGTATATTAAGAAAAAAAGGCAAAATATAAGCCCCGCCCACCCGCTCTTTCTCAATTCTGACGATTTTTTTTATTCGTCGTAAGCCGAGGGGCGGAGCTTAATTGTCAAATCCTTATTTATTTACGAGAAATTACCGTGTGAAATGTGTTCCTAAGTATTTAAAGAAAACTAAATGTATTAATTGAAAAAGAAAACCAAAGAGACGCTCCACCCATCTGTCTCAATCTCATGAATTTTTCATTCGTTGTCAGACCGAGGGGCGGAGACTAATTGCAAAATCGATAAAATTTACCATTTTAAACGTGTGTAAAAAAAATGGGCAAAAAGTAAGTAACGCCAACATCAACGGCAAGTTTATAAATCGACCTTTAGTACCTCTATGTCGCTCCCATGACGGGCCAACAAGTCATGTCTGAGTCTGTCCTTTGATACAAACCACCCTCTAAAAGAACTTCATCGCCATTTTTAATTTTTGAAACTATTGGATTTCTTGAGTTTCTTGGGTTTTTTAATTTCTTTGGCTTTTCGGATTTTTTGGATTTATTTGGTTTTTCGGGTTTCTTGGATTTTTTAGTTTCTTTAAATATTTAAATTTTTGTTTTCTTATGTTTGTTCGATTTTTCAATTTTTTTGATAATTTTTTTTTATTTTTTTATTTTCTGATTCCTTGGATTTTAAAAATTTTTGACATATTCCATTTTTTGTATTTTGAACTCTTCGAGATATTTTCTTAAATTTCTAGATATTATTTTTAATTTTTTTTTATTTATGTTTTTTTTTCATTTTTTCTTGAATTTCTTAGATTTTTGGTTTGTTTAAATTTTTTTATTTGTTTTTATTTATTCGATTTTTCAATTTTTCGGATAATTTTTATTTTCTAGTTATTTTTGATTTTCTGATTTCTTGGATTTTTTTAATTTTTGACTATTTTCACCTTTTGATTTTTAGAATTATTGAATTACTTGAGTTTTTTCAGTTTCTTTAGATTTTTTATTTTTTTAAATTTTGAGTGTTTAGATCGTTTTGGATTTTTGAGATTATTGGTTTTTTTGAGTCTCTTAGGATTTACGGATTTTTTGGATTTATTTGGTTTTTTGGGTTTCTTGGATTTTTTAGTTTCTTTTAATTTTTTTATTTTTGTTTATTCGACATTTTCAATTTTTTTGATAATTTTTATTTTGGTGTAATTTTTTTTGATTTTCTGATTCCTTGGATTTTTTGTATTGTTTGGATTTTTTGTTTTTTAATTCTTTTGGATTTTAGGCATAATTCGAATTTTTTGGAATTTTGGAACTATTGAATTTCTTACATTTTTGGTTTGTTTAAATTTCTTTAATTTTTTGAATTTTTTTTATTTATTCGATTTTTCAATTTTTTGGATAATTTTTATTTTCTAGTAATTTTTTATTTTCTGATTTCTTGGATTTTTTAAATTTTTGACATATTTTCACCTTTTGATTTTTGGAATGATTGAATTTATTGAGTTTTTTCAGTTTCTTGGGCTTCTTAAATTCTTTAGATTTTTTATTTTTTTAAATTCTTTGAGTTTTTAGATTTTTTTGGATTTTTGAAATTATTGGATTTCTTGAGTCTTTTGGGATTTTCGGATTTTTTGGATTTATTTGGTTTTTTGGGTTTCTTGGATTTTTAGTTTCTTTAAATTTTTTAATTTTGATTTCTTATGTTTATTCGATTTTATTTGGGTGTTATTTTTTATTTTCTGATTCCTTGGATTTTTAAAATCTTTGACATATTTCCATTTTTTGTATTTTGACCTGTTGGATTGTTTAGATATTTTCTTAAATTTCTAGATATTATTTTTAAATTTTTCGTATTATTGGACTTTTTGTATTTCTTGGATTTTTTCGGTTTTTTCATTTTTTTCCATATTTTGGATTCATTTTTTTATTCTTTGGAATTTTTGATTTTTTTTATGTATTGTTTTGTTTTGGATTTTTGCAATTATTGGGTTTTTGAATTTCTTTGGTTTTTCGGATTTTTCGATTTATTTGTTTTCTTTTGATTTTTTCTATTTTTTGGATATATTCGATTTTTCGGATTTAAAAAAATTTTTGGAATTGTTGGATTTTTTGAATTTCTTTGGGTTTCTTCGATTTTTTGTTTTGTTTGGATTTTTTTGTTTTTTGTTTTTTAATTCTTTTGGATTTTAGGCATAATTCGAATTTTTTGGAATTTTGGAACTATTGAATTTCTCACATTTTTGGTTTGTTTAAATTTTTTTTATTCGATTTTTCAATTTTTTGGAGAATTTTTATTTTCTGATTTCTTGGATTTTTTGGATTTTTGACATATTTTCACCTTTTGATTTTTAATTTTTTTTAAATTCTTTGATTTTTTAGATGGTTCTGAATTTTTTAGACTTTTGTATTTCTTGTATTTCTGAGGTTTTTTGGATTTTTAACATTTTTGGGATAATTTTTATTTTTGGATTTTTGAAATTATTGGAGTTTTTGAGTTTCTTGGGCCACTTGGATTTTTTAATTTTTTAAAAATGTTTTCGGATATTTTCGATTTTTTGTTTCTTAGATTTATTGGTTTTTTAATTTTTAGAATTGTTGAATTTCTTGAGTTTGTCGGTTTTTTTTGGATTTCTTCGAGTTCTTGTATTGTTTGGATTTTTTAGATTGTTTTAAATTTTTTGGATGTTTCAGATTTTTTAGATTATTAGATTTCTTCTATTTCTGTTTTTTTTTGTAGTTTTAGAATTTTTGGGATATTTTCTATTTTTGGAATTTTAAAGTTATTGGATTTCTTGACTTTTTAAACTTCTTTTCGGATATTTTCGATTTTTTGAACTATTGAATTTTTTGTTTCTTAGATTTTTTGTATTTTTAAAAATTTTTGGAATTGTTGCATTTCTTGAATTTCTTTGGGTTTCTTCGATTTTTTGTATTGTTTGGATTTTTTGTTTTTTAATTCTTTTGGATTTTACGCATGACTCGAATTTTTTGGAATTTTGGAAGTATTGAATTTCTTAGATTTTTGATTTGTTTAAATTTTGGAATTTTTTGTTTTTTTTTATTTATTCGATTTTTCAATTTTTGGATAATTTTTATTTTCTAGTTATTTTTTATTTTCTGATTTCTTGGACTTTTTTAATTTTTGACATATTTTCAACTTTGGATTTTTAGAATTATTGGATATCTTGAGTTTTTTCAGTTTCTTGGGCTTCTTAAATTCTTTACATTTTAAATTCTTTAGATTGTTTTGAATTTTTTAGATTTTTAAAATTTTTGGGAAAAATTTTTATTTTTGGATTTTTGAAATTATTGAATTTATTGAGTTACTTGAGTTTTTGAATTTCTTTGGCTTTTTGGATTTTTTGGATTTATTTGGTTTTTTGGATTTCTTGGATTTTTTAGTTTCTTTAAATTTTTAATTTTTGTTTTCTTATATTTATTCGATGTTTTCAATTTTTTGATAATTTTTATTTTGGTGTAATTTTTTTATTTTCTGATTCCTTGAATTTTTAAAATTTTTGACATATTTCCATTTTTTGTATTTTGGCCTCTTGGATTGTTTAAACATTTTCTCAAATTTCTAGATATTA